AATGTGTGCAAAATTAGTCACAACAGACCAAGATTTGATGGAAACGATGGGGAAACACACGAACTGGACTCTAACACGACCTAACCAGCAACAAGACCTCGACCAGACACAAACTCAACACGACGGACTCAAATCGAAATATGCAAAGGCTATGGCATGAAGAAGGTTCTAGGATAGGAAAACGAGTATGGCCTTTGGACTATGGGACGAATACTTAAACACTCAAACTAGGGAATAACAAGTGAACTGACGGTATACCTTAGCTCTGATTACCACTTAATGGAGACGGGATCCCGATCTTCCGTCGGTGATGGTAACTATCGTTGTGGCGGAGAATGACACAATTAATCCGGCTTCAGATCGAAGATCAAACCTGCGCAATCTTAGCACCACAGCCTCCTCCGGTTATCAACCGAGTCACGGACCAAGTTGACCTCGCTAAGAAGGCTAATCCCTGCACAGTGCAATGAAGAACACAAGCAAGAACAAGAAAGATCGCAACCAAATTGCAAATGTATGATTAATCTCACGAGTTGGGGTCTCACAAACCGAAGAACGGCGAACATTTCTTGATGAATAATCTAAGCAAAACCCAAACCCTAATGGAGGGCAGCGGCTGTTTATGAAGACTCTAGGTCATGCAAGACCTGGACGCGCCTAATGGGCCCAAACTTCGAGGATACATGGTCCAGCCGGACCAAAGACGATGTCGCGCAAAGAAGTGCAGATTCTGGACGCTGACTTGTTTCGATGATTCCTGTTGATTCTGAACATATTTTGACGTGAAACCACTTGGATTGGCTTCCTTATCAAATTAGCTTTCCATCCATATGTGCATCATCAAAATGGAGTCCGGATGCGTCCTGGGCGACCAGTTTAAAATGTAGACTGGTCCCGGAGGCCGAGGCACTCGAACTCGAATTGGACCTGATACCTCCTCCGCTTGTGTTGGACGTCCTTGCTGGTCATCATCACCTCCTCCATGTCCTCTTAGTCCTCTTGACCCCTCTCCAATGTTCCTAAGCAAGATAACATCATTAGGTAGTAGTCTATTCTCAAAAGTATGAAAAGGATCGCTTAAGAACGAGCTCACCAGTAAATTGAGTTGACGATTCGAGGCCCGGTCATTGGACCTTGCATGACGGTTGGAGGATCAGCTGGTACATCCTAAGGAGTGATGTCCTCATCAAAGGGGGACCTGCCGATCACCCGCAACGTAGAGAGCGGATCCCATGCATGTGTTGGGAGGAACCGAGAGACAGATCCCGCCTCCAAAACCGTGAGAAGGAGTGGTGGTCTTTTACCGCTAAGTTAGAATAACCATAAAAGTCAAAGTGACACATTAGAGTGGTCGGGAGAAATAATAATAGCTTTATTGAAGTAAATCGAAAATACAAAAGGGGGTACATATCTCAGTAGTTAAGCAGAAACGCCTAAGCTGTCGACAAAGGCCACGAGTTTGGTATCGTCTGCATCATCCGTGTGAGCTAACCTCAGTAAGACGTTGGTCGGTGACCTCCTTTTGATCATGAAGGGCCTCTCCTATGGGGTTATGAAGTTTATGGACACCATCCTGGTTCGCCTTCCACTTCAGGACCAGTGTCCCGACACCACAAAACCGCTTTTTAATGTTCTTTTGTTGTAGTACTGCCACAAGAAAACAAAGAAGGTATTTGGTCAGACGTATACAAGAATCGAGCCGCTTCTTTCCGCCACGGTCACTTGTAGTAGCCCCATACTTCATTGGC